CCTCCCCTTTACTCTATACCCTTCTACCCCTCTCCCCTCCCCCCTCTCTTTGCCATGTCCTGCCAATGCCTTCCTATACTTCAGTCTCATCCCATTACTGTCAAGTCACACCATTCAATAAAGATCTAATTTATGAATATGAGCAAAGCACTTGTCTGTGTTTCTTACTTTCATTTTCGTGGATGACATGTCCTAATAAGTTACTCACTTACCTTTTTTTTAAGGTCTCATCTATCCATTGGGGTTAAAAAAATTTTTTTTTTCATTTGTATGTTGGACGGTTTGTTGTTTGTTCCAAGTTTTTATGTGAGTGGTTGGCGGGTGCTCTGGTGTGGTTTGCTCCTTCTGCCTCTATAGGCTAAAACAGCACCTGGACATGGATGGCTGGTGCCTCTATAAATAAATCATTGATGGTCTGGTCCTTCTGCCTCTGCCTTATCAAAAGTCTAGCGTCCTTATCTCTCCTCCTTCTTTTTTTGTCCAATTGGATGTTACCATCTAGCATCACCCCTGACATTCGGCAATTTCAGGACCTGATTGTGTTGCAAGTGCCCACAAATTTCTTACTAAAAGAAAAAAAAAGAAAAAAAAAAAGCTTAACTCGTCACGAGTGTCCAATTTCTCCGCTACAATATAAGACAGGGTGGAGTGCCACGACTATCCCACACAACAGCGTTTCAGACACTTAAGCAGCAGGGATTGGAACCCAGCCCTCTAGCGTCATGTCGTAGCCTGAGCCTTTGTCACAGTGCCGACGCGCTGTTGCGGCTGTTCCAATGTATAATACCAAGACGGGAAAATGTTCAGGAAAGAGAAAAACTTGTTTCATTCTTGGACTTTCAACAACTGCACCTACCGAATGTATTTTTTCTTTTCTCGTTTTTTTTTTCCAACATGTAGAATTGGGATTTCGGCAAAATATTTCTTGAGCGCATGCAACTGATATCACAGATTAAAACTAGATCTATTTTTTTAAATTTCAAAATTTTGATCTTAGTACATCTAAACAGCTAACTGAGGAAAGACGTAAATCTCTTTCTTTCTCTTTTTCTCTCTCTTTCCGCACACACATGACACATTCACCCCCCTCCCCACCCCCACTCCCTCCCATGCACACACACTTATCTCAATGATCAAATTGTGTCTCCTTAGGCTTCTGGCTTCTGCTTTCTTTCTTTCTCTTGTCCTTCTTCGTCTTCTTTCCCTCTAAAGCGGATGCCCTTGCTTTCACATTGGCCTTTTGAGTCTCGAGGGGCTTTTCAAAATTTAAGAACTATTTTTAAAACAAACCAAACGCACCAAAACCAAACATAGTATACCCTACCACATCTCTGCCAAAACACCAGCGGGCTGTGAAAAAATGGGAGAGAACTATGTAATGAAAACAACCTTCCTAATTATTAGAGTGGTGCCCCTTGATAGAATGCAGCGTTCAAATTTCAGCATCAGACTTTTCGTTTTAAACTATTTTTCAGGTGTGGTTTTCTTTTCCCTCTATCAAAGTCTGATCCATTTAGATATGCTCGTTGGCGACATAAGTTTCTGCCTGGTTGTGAAACGTAACTAACTAGGAACACATCAGATCTATTGGACTTTAAAAATTTAAACTCAAAGAGATTCACTTCTGCAGTCTCAGAGTTGTTGGATTCATCCATTTACTTAAAGGGGGTGAAACCTTTTTCAAAACTGAAAGTTTTTCAACAAATTCTTGTGAACCCTGGAGAAATTGAATCACAATAATATTTATTAGTTTAAAGAATTTGGTATAAAAATTTTGTTTGTCCTTATTCATACCTTGTGTTCTCACTCGTCTGCTGATTCCTGGGACCCCTAGCAACGAAATAGACTCATCCAGTCACTACAACATCGACCGCCATTTTTCCTGTCTCCGCTTGTTTGACTCGATAAGAAAACAAGCCTTGGTTACAGGTACCGAGGCAAGACTTTATCTGTGTCATTTCGGAGTAGGCCAATAAATCAACTTCATTTCAAAATGGTGAGTTACGTTTTTATGTGTATAAGATTCTCTCTCCAGTACTTCTCTTGCTTAATGTGTTTTTTTAGCGGGGCAATACACTTTGTTCTGCTGGCAAAACTTTAGGGGTAGCAAATGTAGTAATTAGGGTTACCTATTATCGATATCGAGCTTTGTCTTGTCTTTAATTTGAGGTTTATCTGCGTGTCTTTTACACTCATAGGATTACACCTGCTGTTTAGTTAATTGTTCGGTTGCTTTTTGTAGAGCTTCAATGAGTATTTCGTCGCTGTTTTATGGTAGATGGGTTTTATTTTTCGGAAGTCAAACCCCTCATTCCTCAGACTCGGACCCAACCAGGGCCTCCTCACAGATCATCTGTCAGATGAATATGTTTTCGAGGATAGATCTCTAAACAATTATCTAGTGTCAGATCTCATTCGACCCCAATCCCCAAACATAAAAAAATGTAATTGCTGTTCTCGCAGTGGACAGTTAAAAGCACTCCTGTACAATTGCGGTCCCGTTTAGGGATACTGTCTTGACCCCACCAACGATTAGGTCTACTTCTGGCTCTGGTTCTAAACGATTACTTTTTGATGCGCGTGCTGATAGGCCTATGGAGAGATACCCAATCAATCCTAATTGCAAAACATCAAATTATGGTTAAATTCATGCCCCCCTGAAACCGCCTTGCCTTGTTAAATAAATACAATTTAAATTTTACTGCTACTTTTGTAGGCTAGATCTACAGATAAAACATCGATACCAAATATTTAAATCAGTATCGATATCCAGTAGTCTTTGCTTATGGGATTTAGTGCTAGATCTAACGGGACCGCAATTGTACAGGAGTGCCAGTTAAAGACAAAGAAGCGCTCAGCGTTTCACCGGAAGTAACCCGCCAAAAATGCCCCGCCGCCACGGCCGATCAGTTGTAAACATGGGGGTTTGGGGGGGGGGAAACAGCTGAGAAACCCGAAATGTATACCTGCTACTGAAAAATGACCATTTACGGCTCAAAAGATGATAAAAAGCATTATAAAAGCATATATTTTCTTTTAGCTGATAGAATGAGCCATTCAAAAATGATCAGCGATCAAATAAATACAAACAAAGCCGAGAACGCGAAAGACTCAACAATTAGTACATCAGCACGGCGAAACAAGTGATAGCACATAGCGTGTAGTCGCTCAGCGGGACCGCGTCACTTTATCGATCGATATCTCGGCCAAGAGACGCTCTACGAGGTCAAATTAACTTGCAAAGTCATTGGTCACTATTTGTAACTTTGGCCTGTAATTTTCCATATAAGGAACACTGGAATTTTCCATTGAAAAGGGTCAGCGTCTATGCCCTTTATATAGGGCCTGCGCGCTTCCCGGTCGAAGTAGGTCAGCCCTATATATAGGGCGTGCACGCTTCCCGGGTAGCCTGGCTCACGCCCCTTATATAGGGCCTGCGCGCTTCCAGGGTTTAATATCATTGTCCGGTTTAGGTTTCAGTCTTTAAAAAAAAAACCCGTCTTTGTTTTCCTTCAAACCAGATGTCTTCTACAGATTCAGAATTTTGCTTCTGAAAGCCTACACTTCAGTTTGTTTTTATTTGTAGGCTATGTACTTGTTACTGGCTACTATGATGAGTATGAGCCATAATATTGGCCCCCAACTGATGATGGAATAGAAGGATTTAGTGAATATATATATAATATATATATGCCTAGTCCTTTTGAGTGAAGGTTTCTAAAAGGCTGATTATGATGACCTTAGGATTAGGATAACTGATACTGCACTCAGGAGTTTGACTAATATATTAGATGGAAAGAATAGAGAACACACCCATAGTGACATTTACACTGTTTGGGCAATGACGTAACAAGCTGTGCCTACTTATTCAACTTGGTGGAAAATCTTCATGAAGGTACAGAGCCAATAATTCTAATTTTTCAACCCCATCATGATTAAGGGCTCCCTTGTCCAACTCCCTCAGTCCCAGTCTCCAATTCCTCTATTTGTATCAGACTAAATGTATCAATTTTTGCATGTTGAATTCAGAATGGTTTATTTCTGCGTTGTTCTAGATCTGGTTGCGTTTACTTTTTGTCTTATGTCGTGTGTAAAAATGTTTATAAATAATGTGCTGTTGATTGCTATTTCACCCTGGAATGAATCCTTCTTCTTATCATTTAAGATTGTGATTTATTTTTAGTATAGTGGCATGTGACTCTTTTTGTTGATGTTTTTTTACCTTTGACCGTCACAGGCGATGGCTCGTCGGACAGAGCGCCAGGACCAGGCGATGTACCAGAGACAGTTGGAGAAGACGCGCCAGAGGGAGACAGAGCTCCGGGAAATACAGCACGACAAGAAAATGGCGCAGTATTTCGACGAAACCATTCAGAGGGAGGAGAAGGTAATTTTTAAAAGCCTTGACATTTTTCTTATTTGATACAGTCCTTCTTTATGTATCCTCTAAGGACACTTTTTATTCAAGTGCTGGAACGGACATTAGTGATCATGCCTCGTCACATATTTCTCGGCTCGAAAGCTATCAATATATGATATATATCATTGTGCTGGTCTTTTGCCATAACCGATTTATCCTTTGAAGTTTTCAAACAATTAAGTTAAAGAGTTATTCTCGTCTACCTCTTTTTTAAAAAATTTGTTTTTTGCCTTGTATTTTTCCTTTAACAGAAAGACGTTGAAAGTCTTTATATTGATTCAAGTATCTAAGGGAGTGCGTTTGATTCTATTGAAATTGTTTGTATTATTGACCATTCCCCATTGGCCTCTTGTGTCCCAACTGCATTTGATTCTATTGAAATTGTTTGTATTATTGACCATTCCCCACTGGCCTCTTGTATCCCAACTGCGTTTGATTCTATTGAAATTGTTTGTATTATTGACCATTCCCCACTGGCCTCTTGTATCCCAACTGCGTTTGATTCTATTGAAATTGTTTGTATTATTGACCATTCCCCACTGGCCTCTTGTATCCCAACTGCGTTTGATTCTATTGAAATTGTTTGTATTATTGACCATTCCCCACTGGCCTCTTGTCCCAACTGCGTTTAATTTTTTTTCCTGGCTTAACATTTTTACATGATTCTAAAAATAGAAATATTCAGTATGTTCTCCTTTTCTTTGTATGTTACTCTCTAGCAATATCTCTAATCTTCAGCACTGACATGACCTATTTGTGTTGCAAGTGCCGTAAATCTCAAACAAAAACTAAAAAACATCTATCTATTTTATCTCTCCTCATTCTTGTCTTTGTGTGTTACTCTCTGGAAACATCTCAAATCTTCGTTACTTAAATAAACTAATATCTCTCCTATCCTTCTTTTCTTTGTACTTTACGTTACTCTCTAGTCCTATCTCTGATCCTTGGCACTTATTATATGACTTTATTTGTGCTGCAAGTGCTGTAAAACTATTGTCGAGCGCCGTAAAACCTTATACTCTACTATACTATACTATACTAAAACTATTGTGTTATAAAAAAAATAGAATTCCCCGGATGGATCATCGTGTTATTTCCTCTCTCCGTGTGGCTAGGTGGCACAGAGGCGCATGTTGCGGCAACAGCAGGTCATGAACAGAGAGATGGAGATGAATGAGGCTCTGCTCAAGGTACTTGCTCGTTTTTTACTTTTTCTGTCACTCATGCGGCGAGGTGTCCTGGGGAGGTCATGTAATTGTGTGGGTGGTTGGAGGGTGCGTGACTGGTGTGGCTTTTGCTCCTTCTTTCCTCTCAAACATCTCTTGTCCTTATAATGATGTAATTGTGTGGGTGGTTGGAGGGTGCATGACTGGTGTGGTTTACTCCTTCTTTCCTGTCAAACATCTCTTGTCCTTATAATGTAATTGTGTGGGTGGTTGGAGGGTGCGTGACTGGTGTGGCTTTTGCTCCTTCTTTCCTCTCAAACATCTCTTGTCCTTATAATGTAATTGTGTGGGTGGTTGGAGGGTGCATGACTGGTGTGGTTTACTCCTTCTTTCCTGTCAAACATCTCTTGTCCTTATAATGTAATTGTGTGGGTGGTTGGAGGGTGCGTGACTGGTGTGGTTTGCTCCTTCTTTCCTGTCAAACATCTTTCGTCCTTATCTCTCCTCCTTTTTGTGTTTTTTAATTTTTATCTTATCATATCTTCTGTTTTATCTTATTCTGGCTCATCTTACCTTGTTCTACGTCATCTCATCATCTTCCCTTATCTATCTTATTCTACCTTATCATATCATATCCTCTCATCTCGGTTTTTTCCAAATGTTAGAAGCACTAAATTATTTCTCAGTGAAGTCAAATGTAGGCTTGTTGATCATTCTGTGCAGAACACAGAGGAAGAAGTCTGTTGCAAGTATAATTTATTCTCTCATACAATTTTGTTTTAAGAAACAGCTGAGTTTATCACTAACCTCCCACGGTATAGGAACGGAAGAGTCATAGCTTTGTTATAAACCCATAGCCTTCCAATACATAACAATCTTTATCAATGGAAATTAATGAATTCTCCTTATGTGAGAGGTGTAACTCTCATGGAACTGAAGACGAATTTCACATTATTTTTTATTGTTCAAAATTTATCCTTCAAAGGAAATTGTTAATTCCTCCCAGCCTGACTCGGCCCAGTGACAGAACTATGCAATGTTTGACCCATGATAAGAAATATGTGCACGACCTGTACCTTTTCATTATGGAAACTTAATTTAACGAATATGTAATTTATATGAAGTGATGTGGGCCAGTGGCCTTGAACACTGAATAAACTTACCTACTTCTCATCTCCTCTCCTCTCTGGTCTTATCTTATCTCTCCTACCAGGCGGAGCGAGACAAGCTCCTGAAGACACAACAGATGGAACAGGAGGAGAATTTGGCACGGGAGTTGGAGCGAGTCAAGTTTGAGCAGCTCAAGGATGAGAAGATGAGGCAACAGATTAGGGAGACCAGGTGTGTGTGGGGGGTGGTGGAGGAGGAAGGGTGTGTGTGGTGGGGAGGGGGGGGTATGGTGCTGGAGCAAGTCAAGTTTGAGCAGGTCAAGGATGAGGCAGTAGATTAGGGAGACCAGGTGTGTGTGTGTGG